ACGCTCGGGGGAGGTGGCACCAGTGGGTGACACCCCGAGGCCACCGGCGGGTGACACCCCGAGGTGTTGTCCCCATCCCCAGGTGTCCCAGTCCACGTCGTCTCTGGTGGACACCACCATCTCCAGCACCTCCCGGCCCCGCATGAAGAAGAAGCTGAAGATGCTCAACATCGCCAAAAAGTGAGGAGGGGGCACCGTCGGTTTCGGGGGGGCGGTGGCACCGTCCCGGTGCCGCCTGGGTGTCCCAACGCGGTGTCCCCCGGGTGTCCCCAAGGCTGCTGCGCATCCGGAAGGAGCAGCCGACGCTGCAGCTGAAGGAGCCGCCGCCGGCGGTGCTGGAGGCCGACCTGACCGAGTTCGACGTGGCCAATTCCCACCTGCCCTCAGAGGTCCTCTACATGCTCAAGAACGTCCGGTGAGCAGCCGGGGGCGGCCCTGGCAGCGGGATCCAACCCTGGTATCGGGGTTTGGCCCTGGAATGGGGATCCAGCCCTGGCAGTGGGATCCGGCCCTGGTATCGGGGTTTGGCCCTGGGATGGGGATCCGGCCCTGGGATGGGGATCCGGCCCTGGCAGCGGGATCCAGCCCTGGCAGCGGGATCCAGCCCTGGCAGCGGGATCCGGCCCTGGGATGGGGATCCAGCCCTGGCATTGGGATCCAGCCCTGGCATCGGGGTCTGTCCCTGGGATTGGGGTCTGTCCCTGGCAGCGGGATCCGGCCCTGGCAGCGGGATCTGGCTCTGGGATGGGGATCCAATTCTGGCATTGGGGTCTGGCCCTGGGATGGGGATCCAGTTCTGGGATTGGGATCCAGCTCTGGCAGCGGGATCCAGCCCTGGCAGTGGGATGCGACCCTGGAATTGGGGTCTGTCCCTGGGATTGGGGTCTGACCCTGGTATCGGGATCCGGCCCTGGGATCGGGGTCTGGCCCTGGGATCGGGATCTGGCCCTGGGATCGGGATCTGGCCCTGGATCCTGATGGGTCTGTCCCTGGATCAGGATTCCCCCTGGAGGTCAGGATCTATCCCGGGGGGATCAAATCCATCCCTGGGGCTCAGGATCCATCCGAGGGATCAGAATTCTACCTGAGGGATCAGGAT